GGTCATCGTTCCGGTCTTTAACGAAGAGACCACCATCGCGACGGTGATTCAACGATTGATGCAGTTGCCGTTTCGCAGCGAGATTGTCATCGTCGACGACGGAAGCACGGATGGCACGCGTGACGTGCTGACGCGTCTGGCACACTTCTGCGATCTGAAGATTGTTTATCACACCGAGAACCACGGCAAAGGGGCTGCCATTCGTTCGGCGTTGCCTCAAGTGACCGGCGATGTGGTGGTGATCCAAGATGCCGACTTAGAGTACGACCCGCAAGATCTCGTGCATGTGATTCGGCCGATCGTCACCGGCGGAGCGGACGTCTCGTATGGGTCTCGCTTTCTAAAGCCCGATCATGCCACCAAACAGGTTTCTTGGGTTCGTCAGTTGGGCAACCAAACACTGACGTGCGTTTCAAACTGCCTGACGGGGCTGCACCTGACCGATATGGAAACCGCTTTCAAAGCGTTTCCTCGCAGCGTGATCCAGCAGATCGAGATTGAAGAAAATCGCTTCGGTGTCGAGCCTGAAATCACCGCCAAGCTGGCCAAGCGAAACTACCGTTTCGTGGAATGCCCAGTGCAGTACCACGCCCACGATTGGTCGTCCAGCAACAAGATTGGCTGGAAGGATGGCCTTGAAGCTTTGTGGTGCATTCTGCGTTACCGGCTGGCCGATTAACTTCCGATTTTGGATGCCATGCCCACGTTCGCGTGGGCATGCAAGCAATCGGCCAGATCAACATGCCTACGCAAACGTGGACAAACACCCATCGCTAATTTCTTACCTATCCGTGAAAATCGGCGCAATCTGCGGTTAATAGTCTAGCTGACGCCCTCAAATTCACCCCAATTTGGTGGGTTTCCGCAACCGAAAAACGCTTGATTCGGTTGAACCCTAGGCCGCGACTGCCTATCCTTATAGTTTGGACCAATGTCCCTTGTCCGCCCCTATGGCAATAGGGCCTTTTTAAAGGGCGGCAAGCAATCCTCAGCGTGCATCGGTTTGCACCTGGATTGGGTTCAAAGGAATCTGTTTCATTCACCGGAGAGAATCTGTGAGTACTTCGACTGAAAAATCTACGAGCAACCAAGTCATGCTAGGCGCCGACATTATGATCGAATCGCTGGTACGACATGGCGTAGAAGTACTCTTCGCTTATCCCGGCGGTTGCAGTATGCCTTTGCACCAGGCGTTGACGCGTTACAAGGACAAGATCCGCACGATCCTGCCTCGTCACGAACAGGGTGGCTGCTTCGCCGCCCAAGGCGTCGCTCGCTCGACTGGCAAAGTGGGGGCCGCTATGGCTACCAGCGGTCCCGGGGCAACGAACCTTGTGACTGCGATTGCCGATGCCAAGCTCGACAGCATTCCGCTGATCGCCATCAGCGCCCAGGTGCCGCGTGCAGTGATCGGATCGGACGCGTTCCAGGAAACGCCGATCGTGGAAGTTTGCCGTGGTATCACCAAGCACCATTATCTCGTGACCGACATCAAAGACTTGTGTCGGATCATGAAGGAAGCTTTCCATATCGCTACGACCGGTCGCCCTGGTCCTGTGCTGATCGATATCCCGAAAGACGTTCAGCTCGAACAAACGGTTCCAGATTGGGACTGCGAAATGAACCTGCCTGGCTACAACATCCAGTCGCGTCTGGCCAAGCCGGAACAGATCCGTCAGGTTGCCGCCGCCATCAAGCGTGCCAAGCGTCCGATCATCTACGCCGGTGGCGGGATCATCACCTCGGAGGCTT